CGATCTCAATAACTTTCAATCATGGTGTTGTGCAAATATGTTACACCTAAATGCCTCGAAATGCAAAGTAATGACATTTCATCGCTCCAGCCCGCTTTTGGCTTCTTATAGCCTCTGCGGTGGTTCTCTTGAGAGAATTACCTTAGTTGATGATCTTGGTGTTAAATTATACCCAAAGTTAAGGTTTTCTGAACACATTTCTACCATGGTAAATAAGGCCATGGGTGTGCTTTGGTTTATAAAGAGGTGGTCAAAGGAATTTGACGACCCCTATATAACGAAGACTCTCCACATCTCGCTTGTTCGTCCGATTTTAGAGTACGGCTCTTGTGTATAGAATCAGTCCAGAAAAACTTTTTACTTTTTGCTCTGCGTGGCCTTAACTGGGATGCAGGTGTGAGACTGCCATCTTATCCTCGTAAATTGCTTTTAATAAACCTTCCAACCTTAGTTAGTCGTAGAAAAATGCTTGGTGTGATTTTTATGCACAACCTGATCAAGGGTGACGTAGATAGCCCTGACTTGTTGAGCCGCATAAACTTTACGATCCCTATTAGATCTACTAGAAACTTCATTCCTTTGTTCCTTCCGCTTTGTAGATCGAATTATTCCTTGCACGAACCATTTAGATACTTTGCTCGGACTTCAATTCCCTCTACCATATAATATCCACTACTAATTCCCTTCCTGTTCTTAAATCACTAATACTATTATACCTTTCCCGTAATTAGTACTATTTCTTTGCATGTTTAGCCCTTTGAGTTGTGTTATCGGTTCGGTAAAACGCGTTGCGCGTCATGCGGCAGCGCCCCTCGGTCGGTTGGGCGGGAGGAGGGGCTCCGTTTCTGCCTGGGTTCCGCGCGTAACAGGCGTATGGTGTCGCATTGTCCACTTGATGGTGCAGTCATTGCATATCAACGTCCAGACATTATCAATATGAACCAGTTTCTAAGTTTCAATATTATTTGAAAAATCCGGGAATTAAATTTTTTTTAATGTATATTTACCCAAAAATTTGTATTTTTTTTCGTGGTAGCAACCCCCAAATATTAAACTAAAAATTTGAAAAAAATGTTATGATTTTATTGAAAATTGAAAAAAAAAAAATTGTTTGGTAAAATTTTGGCCCGGCCTAGTATATATATTCTTGATCAGCATCAATAGCCGAGTTGATATAGCCATGTCTGTCTGTCCGTCTTAATTAGCTCCTAGTTCACAGAGACTATAAGAGCTAGGGAAAACAAATTTTGTTCCAGACTCATGTGATATCACACTGTTAAAAGTGAATTTCAAAATTTCGCTCCGCCCCTTTCCGCCCCCACAAAAGACGAAAATTTGTGGCTGCCACAATTTTAAAGATACGATACGATAGTATCGTAGAGAATGACTATATCTACCAGATTGCCGAATCTGAATCCTGTGTTTTTAAAGTCAAAATTTCGGAAAAAAATAGCGCCAAAAATTATCAAATTTGAATTTGAAAACTTAATATCTTCCATGCGTAAAGCTGCATTTACAAAGTGTAAAGATCAGATTTATAACTGCATTTTACAGCTTTTTAGAACTGCAAAGTTCTATGCAACCAGATATAAGTATATAAGTTATGTGAAAAATAGAAGAAATAGAATACCTCTATAAAAAAAACATTAACATATTAAAAAATTCTTAAAAAAACTAAACCTAAAAAAAAACGAGAAGGAACGTGTGAATGGCTTCTAAAGACGCGACTCTACTTATATCCGTACTCAGTCAGTATTTACATTTTTGAACATATGATTTTTTAGAATTTTAGCATTAAAAAAAAAATTTTACATTTTACATTTTTTTGCTACATCTGTTATCTACATCTACATATATTATGTATATTCTACATCTAACATGTAGATTATACATGTACCATTTAGATTCTACATCTCCTCCGATAGGGGTTGCTCGCGCACTGAACGCGGCAGAGTGTGCGAGCGAGATGGAAAATGAGTTTCGTTGTCGTTGGAAGGAGTGGGCAGGGGAAGCAACAGAAAATTAATTTCTTCATTCTGGCTATAATTATGATCCGATCTGATTCAGATTCGGTAGTCTGGTAGATATGATCATTCTCTACGATAATGCGTTTTTAGTTTTATCGTATCTTTAAAAATGTGCCTGCCACAGATTTTCGTTCTTTGTGGGGGCGGAAGGGGGCGGGGCGAAATTTTGAAATACACTTGTAGCAATGGGATATCACATGAGTCTGGAACTAGGTTGCCCTAGTTCTTATAGTCTCTGAGATCTAGGCGCTCAACAAGACAGACAGACGGACAGACGGTCAGACGGACAGACGGACAGACGGACAGACAGACATGGCTCTATCGACTCGGCTATTGATGCTGATCAAGAATATATATACTTTATGGGGTCGGAAACGTTTCCTTCTCTGCGTTACACACATCCACTTTTACCACAAATCTAATATACCCCTTAACTCCTTTTTGAGTACGGGTATAAAAATTCCTTACAAATTTTTAAATCTATCAGAAAAAGTCATTTTGGGCCACAGCGTAAGTGTCGTGTTTACTAGTGTTATTTTAGCCAGAATAAAGAAATTAATTTTCAGTTGCTTCCCCTGCCTCCTTCAGCGCTGCTGACGCTACTTATTCTCTATCTCGCTAGCACACACTCTGCCCTGTGCAATGCGCGACCTATGCGGAGAAGATGTTGAATCTACTTTTGTATGTAGAATATACATTTTATACATGGAACCCAAATTGGAGATGTAGATAACAGATGTAACAAAAACATGTAAAATTGTTTAAATTCTACATAAATCATAAGCTCACAAATTTATATACTGACTGAGGAAGATGAGGCTGCGGTCTGTGATTTTTACATGCTACTGATAAAGCTGGAGCAGATCGAGAAGCTGAATGGGGAATTCGATACATTGCACAACGAGCTTGAAGAATTGGACTGCACCGAAATTCATAGTGGACTGAGCGACAGCTTTGAAACACTTGCCAGTGCTTTCAAGGCTTCGATCATGCGTGAAATTGATAGGATTAGCGGATACATGCCTCTGTTTTCTAGGTTTGCTGGAAATGCAACTGCTGGTCTTGCCGGTTCTCAGCCGCCACCTTGTCGTAGGCCAGCATCATTCCTGCCTTCTATATAATTTCCAGGTATAAAATCAGAGTAGCGTCCACAGAAACGACTCATACGTTCCTTCTCGTTACCCTTGTAATTATTAATTTAGAACTTACAACAAAATTGTACAATACTAGCAGACCCACGCGTTACGCTACTTACTAAATACATTTAATGTTTTGGAATTCATCGAATATGGAAACACTTGATGCGGCCGCATCATTGACTTCTTTTATCCACTGGGCTCTTATGAGCATAATTGTCGCATGTTCCATATAACGGAAAAATCCAATGATGCGGCCCAGTGTAAAAAGAGTATTACATAAGGCAAACATAAGGTACAAATCGTCAGGATCCGTTCTAATCCAATTCTGTAATCTGGTATATATGGTCAATATTTATTTTTCAGATTTTGGCTTTCTCGTATTTTTTAAATTGTAGATACTACCATTTGAATGAAATGAACTGCTGCGACTGTACAGATCTATGGTTCCCTCTTACTGTTAATGTGCGATACCACTTAATCAGTCCAATAGAATGCATTAATTCAATGATGTTCTCGAGCTTTACATATCTACCTTCTACGCTGCCCAGCGTATGGCCTTCTAGACGACCATGTCTCATCTTGCTGTCTGCTATGATAATGTCTGTTTAGTCTATTGGAGCGCAAAACAACTATAGAATAAGGTTTAACAGCGTCTGCTCTAATCTGTGTTCTCACAGGCGAGAGAGCCAGCGAAAGCTCGCCCATGCTATGCAGCGCCTATGCTGCGCCCACCAAAAAATGAGTTTTAGTTGAACTATTGAACCAACCGCATTTTTGTTCTGGAGCTCTTGTTTCTAATTGCAGCAGTTATGCCACATCGAAAACTTTTCGCCAAGTCAACGAATTACTACCATCGTTTTCTAAACTTTTAAAAATAAGGAGTACCGTGATAAGCCGAGCGTGTGCTTACTCAAGTTCAGACATTACACGGTTCTTTTCCTGCCGTGACCCTCTTGCTCTGCCAATCCCATGGTGTTTTTTAGAGATTCTCGATTAATTCTGTTTTTAGCATAAGCGTGACTTACACCACATTAGGCCCAGGCTTGCGCGTTTAAATTTAACTGTCGGTGTTTGAAAATGTATTTTCTGAAAAGATCTGCTGACGCCAACTCGTCTTCTTCAGGGAAAAATCAGAGAAACACAAAAAGTTCCTTTATTTCCAAGATGCCAGCTAGTATAGCTACCCATTTGTTTGTAGATCCCTTCACATTTTCGTGGTCCTAAAACCACGATCTGAATGTGGGAGGACAACAACGGCCAAAGTTACATTACTACTGTCACAAATACGACTCATTGCATGGTGAGCCGCACGGGTGCCGTAGTCGATGCAGGCTGGATAGAGAGCTGTCAGTGACCAGGACGGAGGAAGATAGCCTTATCCGCTCGCCTGAGCCGAGAACCATCTCCCTGCATAGGGAATGGCCGAAGCGTTCCAAGGAGGGAATAAAGGCTAAGGGCCATTATCAGCGGTATCTTAAGATCCAGGAGAGATCTGACCTGAGCGGAACATAGCCTTCAAACGGAAAACTAGAAGGTTCTACTGTTAGCCTATTATCCAACGAGAGGTAAGCAAGTCCTGAAGATAAGATCAGAGGTAAGATCAGAAAATCGGGAAGTTGACGTGGGTCCCCACAGCTGAAGAAGGACGGTGACCCCACCTATGATGCTGAGTGCTCTGCAGCAGGAGGAGTAAAGGAAAGGGAAGTCTCTCAGAGACCGGAACACTTTTCTTCTCTTCGCTTGGATTCCCTGTTTCGTGTTTTCGGTTATTACAAAGATGTAACAAACGTGGCTGAGGAAATTCCGAGAAAATGATAATATATGCAATTAGTAGGCTTGCTTTTATTGTTTTTATTCTATTTTAGCTTTAACGGCTTAGTTTTACGGTACTGTTGTTAAACTTAATCCAACTTTATAAACATAACTATTTTGTAAATAAATTATTCGTGCCGAAGTATAAAGGTACGAATTTGCATTGGTAACAACGTCACAGTGAACTCAGAAGCATCCATCGTATAATTCGCCTCTATTGGCTTATGCGGTGTAGAGAAGAAACTAACTGAAGAGGGAATAAAACCGGTACCATCCTGGTGAAACTTGAATCTCTTTATGTGTCTTAGTGGCAAATTTCCATCTAAAGTTACTTCCCAAATCTGTTGTCCACGCAAAGATTTGAAAAGTGGATAAATGTTAAAGCTTTTTATGCTTCCACAGGAATTCATGTTTTCCACTCGTAAAAGGATTTTGTTGGTTGAATGTGCTTCAAGGGAAAGAAGTTCGATTGATTCCGGAAAATCGGTAAAATCTGGGATCAAATGCTGAACTACTGAAGGAACGCTATTTGTTTTACTGAAAAACTTACAAAACGGCAAATGTATTTCATGTTGGGTTAAACGCTCAGCACACATTGGATTCTTCGGCACAGCGTTCAGAATAAGAAAAACTTTTCCACGGGCTATCAAGCCCGTACCAAACTGTTCTTCATTAAGAGCTTCGCCGACCCCAAATGCATCGTCATTTAACAATCGACGATGTAACATTAACTCCAATTCACCGTCTTCCAAGCTAGTTCCGCCCTGTGAACGATCATTGAATAGAGTTATACGCTTATCCTCGTCTTGCATATACATTTGTGCGGTAACTGGATAGTAATTTCCGCTTATTTCTTCTGTCATATCTGGTTTAAAGAATTCCCTTTGGTTTCTTTTACGTTCAAGCATTTCTCGACCATTGGAATCTGTGTAGAAAGTGCCATTCGAGGACAAGTTTGTTGAAAAGCGAGTAACAATTTCTTTTCCATCTCCATCGTCCGTTGGGATCGGCCCAACTAGCCATTCAAACTCAACTCGGTTTACCCCCTCATAAATACGTACTACTTGAGAAATCCACTTGTTCACATGTTGATGAACTTCCTTTACATTCAGACCATTGTAAATTGAATATTCTATTTTATCATTAAGCACTTCAATGTCTCCATCTGGACGAAAAACATATGCACCTGAGGATCGATTTTTTGATAAGCCATTATTGCCCCGGAAGCCCTTATAAATGGCAAAGCTTTGGTGAATATTTTCGGATACCCCATTCATTTCTACGCGTTTAAGCCCTCCTGTACTTTTATCGAACACAAGCTTTATAAGCTGAAAATATTTCATTGAATTGAATTGGGGGGAAACACTTTTTATGTATCTTACTTACTGAGTTCTCTAACGTAAATTCGTCCGCATCGTTTTCTGCTATGGGTATTGTTTGATCGTTGAGTAAGTCATGCTTCTTTCTTGGAAATGGAAGTACGCGAATATAGAAGTTGGAAATTTTTTTCACACTGGCTTTAAAGACCAATTCATGCTGAGTATCATTTGAACGGTGTTGAAGAGATAAAATTTCCAATGGCACAGGTACAGTTTCCGATGGTACTTCACGACCTAAATAAAAACAGTTTGTTTATATTGTCAAATTCAATAAATCATCACTAATACCGTTTTCATCTGTGACTTGATAGTTTTCTTTTCTTACAGGTAAGCGTACATATTGTGAAGAAGTGTGAGCCAGCGGATTAACTAAAGTTACTACTATGTTGTTGGCACTTGTCTGTGTAAGCGCACAAACACTTATGTTTAATTCTAAGCAACTTTGAAACTCCCCATTATTAAGATTGGTTAGCACACGCAGAGCATCCCGAGCATTATTTTCGGCACCAATAATTGCGTTGAATAACATACGATCATAGTCTTGGGCAACTGCTTGTTTTTCAGTGCCCGTAATAGCATCATGATGCTGCATAACACCCATTGCCTGCCGCAAGTTTCTGAGGCCTTTTTCGTGCTTAGCGGTGGTGAGATTAGCTAGTGTGATAAGTTGCTTAACCGTCTGAAGGATATGATTTCCATCCCGCTCGAAACGTTTTTGGGTTGGACGTGAAGTAAAATATCCAGTCCAGTAGGAATGAGTGTCACTAGAATATGGAAAGAAATCCTCGGTTTTGTTTGGCCAACTTTGCAGTAACTGATGCAATTCGTAAAGGTAGCAAGATGGAGTTGAGTAAAAAATATTGATTTTTGAACCCTCCGATTGACGATTGTTAACGTACCTGGTGGAAATGTAAATGAACAAAATTTGAAAATAAAATAAAAATGGATATCATACTTTTTCCTGTAAGTACTTACTTAATTAGTTTGTCCATATTTTTAAAGTTTACCTCGGCGTCTTCATATTGGAAATCATCACCCATTGGAACCATTATATGATTAGCTCGGAACGACTTCGACATTGACGTTACATAGGCAATAAAATCATCGACTCGTTTGTTTACGTTATTGTCGTAGCTCATACCGTCAATTATTGGATCATCCTGGCAATGGATGTCAAAGCAGAACCCGGGAGGAGATCCATAATGACGATAAAGCAAACCAGTGAAAATTTCGGAGTTTTTCAAAAATACGCTAGATTTCCAAATCATTTCCATTGTCATGGTACTTAGGCGTTTATTCTTTTCAGCATAATCCATCCGAGCGAAAAACTCCCCGTTGTAACCCATTTGTGCAAAAATGGAAGCCATTTCTCGAGAATGCCCAAAGGGGTCTATCTGCCAACCGATTCGAGGACGAGCGCAAGCCCCGAACGTGTTTTTCAAAAATCTGAAAATATTTATATTTAAAAAATTATATAATTCAATAATCTACCGATCATCTAAAATAAAATCTCTATTTCCCTTTACTTTTTACTGAAAGCATTGCAGAGGAATTATCTGTTTCCTTGGAAACGTTATGCACGAACCAAATTAAAATAAATTACTGCAGTTACTTACTTTAAGCCCAAATTAAATTGGTCTATGACACTTTGGTAGTGAACTGCGGCCTCATCATTCATGCTCCACGCGCCTCCAGCAAATTCCAGGCGTCCTTCAGCGACTAATTGCTTCACAGCTTTTTTCATAGTCTCTGTTTGTTCAGAGTACCATTTAAAAAAAAAAGATGTTTCTACTTGTATGAAACGACGCTTTGAGTCTTTTAATAGCTCTTCAACTACTGTGTCTAATATATATTGGACGGCAGCATGCTGGATATTTTTATTGCTTCCATAGTAATATTGATCAACTGTTTTGAGCCACCCGACATCATCGTGTGAGTGGGGGACTAAATGCACATTAATCATATTTGAATTGGTTTTAGGGCAGGACTAAAATTAGTATTCACAACAATAAAAGGTTATATTAAATATTCTATTAATGCAGCTTAAATGTGTTAATCAAAATGTGTACCTCAAATCCACAGACGTTCTCGGAGACCACTATGTTCAGAGAAACCAAAACCAACAAAACTAGTACGCCTTTAAAATACTTCATTTCGAAAAACGGCTTTTCAGTGGCGTCCAATCGGTCGTATTGACTTGAATATAATGAAATCAATCAGGCTATCACCTTTGGACACAGCAAATTCACCACTTGGTGATAAGCTTTCTAGATTGGATCCCATTAGCATGAGTGGGACTATTAAATTAAAATCAATTTATGAAAGGCAATTGATAACAATTTGTTGCACTGCTCATAGTTTTGACAAATACATAGCCGTATCTACATTTACAGCTGTATAAAGCTATGATTGTAGTTACATACACACATACATATGTACATATATAGTTTTATTTTAATAACAATTATAAAGGAAGAGGTGAACATTTGTTTTCAATGTTTTTATACTAGGTTACAAGCTTATCTATTGTCCAGAACATTTTTCATATTCATATTTTTATAGGAATCCGTTCAAGCAACCTGTAGAAAAGGCTATTTTCTTCTTAATTGGATCGATATAAAACTCCACGTTGGCTGGTATAGGCTTTTTATACATGTAATTAAAAAATCGCAAAAACTACTACTGGGTATTTTATGGTCGGAACATTGATAAAAACGTTCATAATTTTTCTGAATTGTTTTATGGATTTGTACTTGAACAAGCTAAGCACAAAATATAAAGGCCAGCTTCGTTGATCTAATCTATAAATTCCGTTGCAGCACCAGTCATATATACTTTCAATGCAAACAGTTAACCGCGCAAATTTCAAATTTTACAACCAAAATAATATATAAATTATGCTAAAATACATTTAAAATGTATTATTTTATCTAAGCATTAGATTGATTTTAATGGACTGTAATTATTTTTATTTCTTTTTCGGTTCGCTATCTTTTCGGTACTAAATAATGCCGGCGCAGCGGCAAGCGAATACAGATGTTTTTTCATCTCTTCCATTCTATCCTAATTTCCTTTCTTCCTCGATATGGACTTAAATATAAAGATGACAAAGTAATAATATCGGATGCGTTCCTCGACATAGGTCGTTTGTTATTTTAAGTTATTTTCTATGGTTTTTTATGGCTGCTGAAGTGGCTACAGACAATTTTACCAAGGACTTAGTAAGAAGGACTTTCTCAAATCCCACCTGATCAAAACATTTCACAGGAAGACTGGGACAGTGGTTAGTGGGAAGCTTTCTGCTAAGCCATCGATACCACTACAAAAGGCCTCAAGGGTTCGACTTATGCTGTCCAAGGTACCCAACAAACCTGGTCTGCTTCCCCGGTCTGCTTCTCAGAAAATTTCCGATAACACTACTCGAGAAAATCGAAATTTTCTTTTCTCAAAGAACCAAACCGACTTTTTATGATAGATTTGGAACTTACGATTTTTTATAAGTACCGCTTCTTTTTTCACATAACTTAAGTATCTTACATCTGGTTTTAGTTCCAATTTTGCTACATGTAAAATTAAAAAATGTACATCAACGTTCCAAACGGTAAAATGTGATTTTCGGAGGATTGGTCAACCAATTTTAGCTCAACCGTTTCTCCATAGATTTTAAGTTAAAATACTTTATAAAACGCATTAAAATCAAATCAAAATTTAAAAAAAATACAGCACAAGAATTATCATTTTTGCATTTGAAAACTAAACATTTCCCAGGCGCTAAGCTGAAATCACAAATTGCTTAGGTCTAATTTATAGCTGCAAATATAACCATTTTAGAACGGCATTACAACCCGATGTAAGGTACTTAAGCTATGTGAAGAAAAAAAGCGCTACCTTTGAAATAAACTTTAAAAAAATAAGTGTTTTTAAAAATTCTTAAAAAAAAAGTTCTGCCGTAGAAAATGCCATTCTCCCGAAAGTAAGTGGACCGCTCGTATGCCAGGTCCTCAAAGGATGTTAGTCCCGCGGTCACATGAAGTCAGATGCAGACAGATGCGTAGTGCCGAAAGAGTGAGTGGCTACAGAACCCCAGGAGTAGCTCGCAAGTTTGGGGTCATCGCCCATCTCGGCACCGTTGCTGGACGCAGCCTTCGCGCTCATATAGGCCAAGTACTCTTGGAAGCAGAGTCTTGTATCAATCATGACGCCTAGGTACTTCACCTTTTTGTAGGACGTCACTATGGTATTTGCGCCTGTGATGTTGACCGTTGGGATGCGAGTTCAAATCCCACCAGCTCCATCTACTGTTGAACAGAACCCCGGTGGCTTACTTGGCTTGCGAATGAATACCAGTTTCTGCTTCGTCTACCTCCCACGAAGTCACTGGTTGATAAGCTTAACGAAGATGTCCGGGCGCAGGGGGAGGGCCAGTATGAGAGCTCTTTTTGGGACAGAGTCTGGCCCTGGTGCATCCAAAAATGTTATAACAACTGGTATTGGTGGGAAAAAAAAGATGGCGGTTGTGGTCCCTAGCAACGACACGCGCTAGACGATAGAGCGTACATATTAGAACCTATCTCAGGCTGAGGTAAGCTCAGTGCGTCCAGGATTCTTCTACAACAAAATTTTTAGATTCGCTGTGAATTCGCTGGAGGCCGGCCGTTTGACCGAAGTAATGACTCGGAGAAAAAATTATGACGCAGGTGGGTTTGTTTTGATTCTTTAGATTGCCTATTTAATTCGGTTTTGTTGATGATTTGTTGTTTTACGTTAATGGGTCGTGCGTTTTCGTGTCGAATTGCCGATCGCGCATCACGTTGTGAATTAAATGAGGAGAATGTTTTTATAACTCTTCTGGTAGGGAATTATGATAGATATACCCATGGTTCCCATGGTTCATTACACCGTTGCTGCTGCTGTTTGGTTTTACATTTGACTGTGGGCTAGTAGGGGCAACGGGAAGGTTTGCCTCGTCAGCTGGATCGTTGTATTCGTGGTTGTGAAATTCTTTCAGGTCGATGACATTGACAACTTTTGGTTCTCGACTGCAACGGTGTTGAATTTTGACGATATTTGGTGATGACTGAGGTCCCGTGGATATCCACGATCCATTGGTAGCTTTTATTCTTTAAATTCTCGGATCTGTGATGCACCCGACGGTGACGAAGGTTCCCAGGCCTGCTCTGGCTCGTGAGAGTATCAATTTTACGCACAGGAATTCCAGGTCTTGTTGAACCTTCCGCCGAAAAGTTTGAGTCTACTGCAATGAAGACCTCCTCCACGTCGAGACCAACGGTCATTTCTAAAGATTGTGTACCGACCTGCCAAAACTTCGGAACTAAGCATGTCGGTTTCAACCAGGTCTCGGTAAACACAACAACTTGAGACGATAATGCGAGACTCTCCGCAAAAAGAGTGCTGAGCTTACTACGCAAGCATATAGCATTCTGGTAGGTAACTAAAAGAGAGGATGTTACTTTTTTTGGATGGGTAGAAGTAGAGGGGGAATATGAGAGTGGAGATGGAGCACTGCTCTGACTACTAGGAAGAGTTATGGGGGGCCTATTCTTCTTAGCCTTGTACTCTTTCACAACCAATTGCTCCGGCCAAAATTTGCCAGAGCAAATGGTTTCGAACTGAGTTGGGCAGACTCTTATCTTAAAGGAGGCATAATAGAAATGAAACTCTTCCACCTTTAAGCCATCGGCTTTTATTTTGCTTTGAATGTAAGGTCAGGGGCAAGCCGTGATACAAAAACTTGCCGCTCCCACCACTACCACCAGTGGTTTTGGCACTACAGGTGTGGGACCTGTGATGGTAATATTCGGTGGTCCGGGACGTCTATTAGCTGGTGGGAGCATTCGTTTCCCGAATATGCATCACAATATGCACTGAACGAGTATTCAGAGTAAGTTTTCGGTTGCCGGCGGACATGAGGCAGTCGGCACTTACAAGTCCCGCGGAGCAGACTTCTTGCGCCTCGGAGACTCAGCCAGCAACAGTAAACTGCTAAAATGAGTGTCCATGGCCAAGAGCCGATCATATTGCTGTTTAAAGCCCACGATCAACTATAATTCAGGTAGTTGTTTTTATACCCGTACTCAAAAAAGAGTTAAGGGGTATATTAGGTTTGTGGTAAAAGTGGATGTGTGTAACGCAGAGAAGGAAACGTTTCCGACCCCATAAAGTATCGATATTCTTGATCAGCATCAATAGCCGAGTCGATAGAGCCATGTCTGTCTGTCCGTCTGTCCGTCTGACCGTCTGTCCGTCTTGTTTGACGACTGGATCTCAGAGACTACAAGAGCTAGGGCAACCAAATTTGGTTTCCAGACTCATGTGATATCCCACTGCTACAAGTGTATTTCAAAATTTCGCCCCGCCCCCTTCCGCCACCATAAATTACGTAAGTCTGTGGCAGGCACATTTTTAAAGATACGATAAAACTAATAGCACAGTATCGTAGAGAATGCCCATATCTACCAGATTTCTGAATTAGATCGGATCATAATTATAGCCAGAATGAAGAAATTGATTTTCTGTTGGTTCTTCCGGTGACAGAGACCCACTACCCTATCTCTTTCTCGCTCGCACACTCTGCCGCGTTCAGTGCTCGAGCGCCCTCTAGCGAAAAAGATGTAGAGTCAAAATATACAATATGTACAATATACATTGTAGATGTAAATAGCAGATGTAGCAAAAAAATTTGAAATGTAAAATTTTTGTTTTTTTTCTAAAATTCTAAAAAATCATATGCTCAAAAATGTATATACTGACTGAGTACGGGTATAAGAAGAGTCGCGTCCCCAGAAGCGACTCGCACGTTCCTTCTCGTTGGAAATGGCATTTCCTACACGGCCCGATATCCCTACATTTTTTTTCGTGCACTACGCTTATGCAAAGCCAGCAAGATATATTGATGTGGTCATGAGTGATCTACTTCTTGCAGGTATTTTTGCCACAGACGACAGAAAAATCCATAATGATAAGTCTTCTTATTTTTTTTCCAGAAAAAAACAGTTCTAATCAATATTCAACCAATGTTCAGAGCAAATGCTTAGAGCAATCCCAACAGCAAAACAACAGCGAAACAGCGAACTTATAACTGAGAGCGCTACTGCACAAAAAGAGCGAGAGAGAAAGAACAGTTATAAAGATTTAGGTGATAAAGAGATAGTGATAGACGGTAAAAGCTACGGCAAAGACCGCCTAAATGT